CACCCCTTCCTAAATTCCAACCCCTACTTTAAGCACACTCACTTAAGAATGTAGTACACCCATTCCCATTTTTCCCCTCCATTTTGATCACAAACACAAGTCCATGAATCTTCCTGGAGACACTCCTATAGAGTCGCAACTTGGATTGACAAAGTATCAAAACTGTACTGATGTGCTGTGTATTAAAGGTTAAAGCTGACGTTTGAAGCTCACCGTGTTCAGAACAAGAGGGGGCAATTGGCCATGGCTATTCTACTTTACTCCCCTTGGACAAATTGCTTGACTTAAAGGTTGGGTCAGGTCCAACCAAGTTTGTCAGAAGTAGGGGTGAAGGAAGTGGGAAAGGAGCCATTTGCCCCACACACCTTACGTCACTGATTTGGTATCTTCTCATCGTAAAATGGTCTCCACTGGTTTGTTTTATTTCCGTTTGAGTCAAATGTAAGTATTACCACATGTTTTATGCGTTTAGCGTGAAGAGGCAACAACTTTGTGAATCACATTGTGCAACCCTGTCTCTGTAAAATGAATAATGAGAAGAATCTCTGGAAGATACGCTGGGAAGCCTGATTTGTGTCCATTTTTATTAAAATCAATCAAACAAATTGAGTTACCTGTATGCAACTCATCATTTTCAATCCAAAAGACAAAAATTAAGATGTTTATTTGTTAGGTTAGGGTTAGGGTTAGAGTTAGGGCTAAACTTCTAAATGTTTTTTGAATACAACACCAATATGTTCTCAATATATTAACTAAAGCTGTTGATTCCACAAAATTCCTGTATGATGCTTTTATTGAAAATATGTACGGTATGGTGAAATAGTTGCAAAGAAAGCATCAGTAGGAGAACTTCCCCCAAACATTTAACTTTTATCCTGCTGCGGTGTCCTTGAGGAAGATCTTTACCTGCTTCAGGATGCCGCTGAATAGCTAGTCCTGACCTCTGACTTCCTCAATGGATGAGTAAGGATGAGGGTAAATAACACTTTCTGTTGATATGTAATTAATATCACACAGAATGTATCCCACTTTTCCAAGAAGAGGAAAAAAAGGGAGAAATCTCACCTTAAGACACAAGTCTGAATAAAGGACGTCAGAAAGGGGCGGACCAAATTAGATCATCTCCCATTGAAGACCAATAACTGCTTTGCTTCCTGTCATGGCTTGATCCCCAGCCTCCCTCCTGTCCACCCTGTCTGTATGCTGTAAATACATTTTCTTGGAAAAAAACAGTCCCAACATTTTGAAGAATAGTTAAAATAGCAACAACCACATTTTGTCAAACAATTCTTGTCTTATTTTGAAGGCGAAACGTCTGACTCTTGATCCACTTGTCTTCGCTGTGTGTCAGGTGTGACGCACGTTTAGCCTGACCTGTTCTAATTCCCTAACGAGATTGCCCGTCCCCGGATATCCCATTAGACCCTGATTAACCAGGTTTAGCTCATTAGCTCTGACAAACCAATTCACCCATGTCCACCTCCGCCCCATGCATCCATCCCCGCTCCTGCATGACGGTAAACATGCACTGCAATGCCAGAAATCAGAGTGCAATATCACCTCTGTTATCCCAGGACACTGGACACATGTCCTGAAATGAAATGAACCAAAGAAGTGACAATCATTTCTCACATTAATGAATGAAAGGTTGCAAACGTTTAAACGTGCATCCTTAGTTTGATTAAAAAGTTAGATGTTTTACTTGGTTCTGGCTTCTATTTTGCAGTCATTGCACCTAAAACATGTAGTGTTAGCTAAAAACAACAGCACATTTTTTTAAATGTATGTTAAAGTGCGCAGCTGATTTGTCAGTTTTCTCCCTTATGGGTCAGATTTTTCGGTGTAACAGATTTGTGCAAACCTCCACAATCTTTTTTTCTCTTCTCTCATATTCTCACATTTCATCACCACCTGTTGCGTTTCTCTGACACCTTCGTCTTTAATTTCTTCACCTGCTCTTGTCTTTTGACCTCATAACCTGATTTTCCTCCTTCCAATCGGTTTACCTAGCTCCTCTCGCCACTCTCCCTCTCCTTACCTCCCTCTCTCTCTCTCCCTCTCCTTCCCTCTCTATTTCCATCTTTGAGCTTTATCCCTTCATCCCTTATCTCCTTCATCCCCTACAATCCTCATCTGTTCTTCACTGTGGAGGAAGGGACACAGAAAGAGAGAGTTTCTCACAAGTAAGCTGCTATCAGTCTACCGGGGGAGAGCGTCAGAGGAGCCAGCGAGCAGGTTGTGCACCCTGGGATTGTGGAATCTAAAAGAGCTCAAAGGGGAAGGTAGAGCCGGAGGTATCTGGGACCAGGAGCTGCACAGGTGCACAAGAAGAGAAGGGAACCACATTGTGTGTACGAAAGGTGAGTGTTCTTCTTCTCTGCTTCTGTAAATGCACTCTCTTCAGGTGCTACCTGGACCATGTTTGGAGCTGCATCATCTTACTCTGTGATATTTTATAAAAAGTTCAACAAACAGGAAGGGAACTTAAGCATCGGTGTGCAACACAGGAAAAAAATGGGAAACTGGTATATTATGGGGATTCTCTATCGGCACATGGCAAACAATGTAATGTAGCTGCAGCGCTTTTTGTGCATATGTGATTTTAAAGAAGCATTCGCTTTCCTACAATGTTGAATTATGGAATGTTTAAATTCAGTAGCCATTTCCTAATGCATGAAGTCTACTCCATTCTTATATTTGTAAGCCTATGTTAAAGCTTTTTGAAAGTCATATACTTAGTCCTTGGGTACAATTGCATCCAAAGTAATGGTTCCTTAAACCCTTTGAAGGTGATCTTTGGATTGTAGGGACGCTAGCAAAGAGGATTGGTGCCTCAGGTGTGGCAGCAGTAAGCTGCTTCCTGATCTTTTGCACGAGGCCAAACCTCATCCAGCTCACTTAGTCGGCAGATTTCGATGCTGCAGGTGATATTGCTTGGGTTGCTAGTGCAAACAGGGCTTTTCTGTTTTACTGGTGCACTTTTTCCATTTGCTGTTAGCTTTCGAAAATGGTTTTCCTTCAGAGTGTGGGAACACAAATGCACCATCATGTGTGTTAAGTGAGAGAAAGGGACAGTAGTGGAGGAGCCGTTGATGTTTGACTACAACAGACCCTCCACATCACCCACCGTCCACAGCACCCTCCCTCCTTCTCTCTCTGATCCCGAGGTAAAGAGCAGTCAGTAATCGGATGACAGGAGATTTCAGCGGTAAAGCTTCCCTTAAGATCTCCTGCTGGGATTTAAAGCCCTGTAGCCTCCCAGCCCCACTCCGCCCAGCAGCAGAACCACTGACCCTCCCAAGTCCTCCACTACACCGCTGTCCGTAGGCCTCACCCTGAACCTTTAACTTTACCGTTAAACTGATTTGATTTTTATTTATTTATTTGTGCAAGACACAATTTCATTGGACTGCATCTTCCCATGCTCCAATATTCTTAGGATTCAACTTTTGCTGTCACTTTGACAAGGTGACATCTCAAATATTATTGGGGTGTCAATTAAATATTTGAAAGCATAGAGATATCAAATGACAGTAATGACATACATTTGCAAACTACACCTCATATTTGAGAAGCTGGAATTTGGCAATCTTTTGTAATCCTCCATGATCTATTTATATAAACTTCATATTTTGTTAATTTTTTATTTTTTCTATAACTTTCTTTTTGTATTGGCTTGTGTCCCCACATACTTAAGTGTTGAATCACATTTTTAACAAAGTAATACAATGCATAAAAATAACAAGAAAAGGGTTGAAACCAAAATAGAGCATTTAGATAACAAGTAGTTTTATTCAATTAATATGTTTTGTAACATGTCATGTATACATGGCCTACTTGAGATTTTCCCTATTAAACAGTAAATAAAGTATAATAAGTTTAAAGTTTCGAGAGAGTTTCCTTGCCAATATGCAGTTAATTGGGGTTAAATAAGTCATGCGTCAGTATCTTATTACAGAGCAATAGGCACATCCATCCAACTTCTACACGAAGGGCTGGAGATGAAAATGATGTTGTCGTAAAGGAACCAGCCAGTTAGAAAAACACACGATAAAAAGCAGGAGTGACCTTCAATATATTAATCTTGAGGTCCATGTACATGGCTTAGAGCTTGAGCTAACAAGCCCCTCAAAGAGATGACCTTACAAATCTGCAAAACAAGAAAGCTGATTACAAAAGTTTGATTGTTTCTGTAGAATTATAGACAACGTTCTTTTTAGATACCTCAAAATAAATCCTACAGTAAAGCACCGCCTTAATATGAATGGGTCATAAATTCCATGAGTCAAAATGCTCAAAGTAATGTCTACAATTTAAGGGGGGTTTGGGTAAATTCTAGAGATTTTTGCTTGAACATTTTCACTGTATAACTCAGAAATAGACTGATACAGTTCAGAGAATACTTTTACATCACTGTTTTAACATCACTGCATTTATTGTAAAAAATGATTAGGTTTTAGCTCTTAAATTCCCTCCTTTACTTCCTTAATTTCCTTCTTTGTGCTTTTTTTCCTCCCTTGAAGCTATCGTTCTGTTTTAGGCCTTCTCTTTCCTTCTCTTTCCTTCCTTTCTTCCCTATTGAACATCATATCTGTCCTTCAATCTTCCGATGTCTTCTTTTTCCTCATTTTTCCCTCCCTTCACACACCATAGCTGGACAAGAACAGGAGCTAACAGTATTACAACTTTGGTTTAGATAGGGATTAAACCAGTCAGGTATGTGTCTAATCCTTGTTGAGACTTGGTGGTGTAACAGCGACCTAAGTGATCCAGATCAAAGAATCAGGATCACAGAGAGATGCACTGCCTGCTCACTGCATCTCTGCGTATCTGAAAAGTGATGTGCTGTAGGAGTTTGAAAATAGTTTTTGTTGGTTGATTCTGTATTAACTTGATTTGTTTTCCGTTCTTCATTCCCATCCTCTTCTTCTGTCCCTCTTTCCTGTTTCAGAGTGACAGTTTCATTTCTCCGTCAGTAATATCCCCAAGCAACCGTCGCCATGGCTGCAGAGAAAGCTGAAATGGATGTACTGAAAAAGGAGTGTGATGGCCTCCGTACACAGATTGAGGTGAGCAGCTTCCATACTTCCTGTAGAAGTTTATTCCGATATGTCCTGTGAAAACAACGTATCTCCTTACAAAATCCTTATTTTTTCTCATTTGTTACAATATATTTTTACAATATCCAATAGGTTTTAAAAGGGTTGATCTAGTTTAAACCAACATTTCAATCGATAAAGACACAGTTCATCTCTGGGTTTACATGAAAAGTTCAAAATCATCCACATTTCAGACACAGGGTTTCCATTGGACAGACGAAAATAGGCAAAGAAAAGTAAATCTTGTTAGCTAATACCCTTACTCGCCATAACTATTATTAATACATGTTTAATTGGTAGTAATGCTATGTATGTATGTAATTTTAACACCAACTGTTTTAAAAATTGTCCATATTATTTGAAGTAGTTGTTGATGAATACTAAATGAGTTGTAAACTTTTAAGAAATTGTGGCTTATAAACCTGTTAAATGGAACTTTTGTTCGCATCTTTAAACTTTATTTAGATGGTTAAAACTTTGTCTCTTTGAAAAAAGATTAGGGTAAAGGTTATCTGTCTATGTAATGTTAGAAGATGGGATTTGGTTGCCATAAAGAAATCCTTAATAAAGTACGCCTATATAAAATGTTTTAATGTTTGCTAACCCTAACCCTAACCCTAACCCTAACTCTGAATGAATGGTTTACTAATGTTATCAGGATGTAGTTGCTCTACCATTTAGCTTTCGTTCCTCAGCTATGGCACAATAAAGTTAGTTAATATTACACAAACTAATGCTACAATGGCATTTTTTATAATATGAATCTTTGCTAATTATCATTTAGTTGTTTGATACTGTGTCTGACGATTCACCCTAACATGTAATTCCCTGTTTGACCACCAGGCGGCCCGTAAGGGTGTGAATGACGGCAACATGGCAACAGCAGCAGGATCAGCAACCGACGTAGGCCGTGTGCAGCTGAAGCTCAGGAAATCCCTCAAAGGTCACCTGGCTAAAATCTATTCCATGCACTGGGCTTCTGACTCCAGGTGAGGAGGAGGAGGGGAACAGGAGCCTCTCCACCATCACACATTACGGGGGAACCACCCCCATTTTGGAAACTCATGTAGATTATTCCCATGGTCAAAGGCACATGTGTCAAACTCAAGGACCGGGGGCCAATTCAGGCGGATTTAATTTCGGCCCGCAGGATAATTTGTAATTACTATTAGATCTGGCCCGCCGGTATATTGCACGCACACCTTCACTCAATCCTGAGGGTTTCCTCAGCTCAGAGCCTGACCCCAAACATTGATGAACTTGCAACCAAGATGAGATGCCAAGTATCTGGCTTGAACTAGCATCACAGAGCAGCAAACTATGTTTAAATGGATGTTTCCTTCTGCACTTTGTTTCTTGAGACAACAGGGCATGTTTGTTTTTTTCTTTGAGGGAACTAGTTTTTTTGAAGCTGTTGTTGGCCTGTGGAAAAATGTAATCATAAGAAATGACTCTGGAAAAGCTGCAGATAGAGCCATAAGAAATTAATGCAACTGATTATTTAATGTTTAATGTTGTTTTTATACGCAATAATTTAAGCCTTGTTAGTTCCAGGTTTAATATGTGGAATAAGTTAATTTCAATACGTTTTGCAATAAACATTGAACGAGTCCGGCCCTCAACTCGTACCCATTTTTAAATGTTGGCCCCCTGTGTATTTGAGTTTGACACCCCTGGTCTAAGGCAATCCTAGATGTGATGCTAATGTAAACACCGACCATATTACGTCCAAAACAGTCTGGCATTGTTTCTGATAGCAACGTTTCTGATAGTGCCGTGGGTCCACATTTCCGATATTACGTCATATCGGACGCAAATCTGGATCAGCTCCGTTGTACCTCAGTTTTTAGAGATTTGGGTACGGAGGAAAAGAGAGAGGGTTTTATTTTCTGATGCTGCGTGAGTTCCCCAACACACCGGGGACACATATTTATGTATAAAAGACATCAAAAAGTGCATTTTGCATGATATGTCCCCTTTAAGAGAAAGGAGCTCATGTTAACACAAAACATTCATACCATAACAACATACTAAAGAAACTGAGCTTAGGTTGTGTTCCCCTTTAAAGTCTGAATACACTGTTTCCACTGGTCAACTTATAGGCCTAACAAATAACTTTTATTATGCAAGACAGAGTTACAGTGAGCTAGCATGCAAAGTACCAGGACACTGAAACTTGACTTAGGTATTATTTTTATTTATTCAAAAGTTACAGACTAAATGTGGTCGTCTAAATATGGAAGCTTCAGAAAGCCAACATTTCTGAACAGATGCTATGCTACCAAGGAATTTGTCCACCGGTCAGATCATTTATAAAAAAGACACAGATTATTTCATAAAGTAGTACATTTCATGAGTAGAGTTTTTTTTTAATTACGGCTCTATAATATTTTATAATATTTTACTACTGTCTCGTCTCTCCCACAGGTCAATGGTCAGTGCATCACAGGATGGCAAGCTTCTTGTCTGGGACAGCCATACAGGGAACAAGGTACGATTACGATGTTATATTAAGTCTGTATGACAAATATGCTGAAACACTGACATCCAGTGGTAGAGGAAGTACACTGAAGAAATTAGGTTAGTTGAAAGCAATAATATTAAGTTTAAATAAAACACTAGGTTCAACCTAATATCATTGCTTTCAACTAACATAATACAATTATATGTTTAATCTTGCCTTAATACATTTAATTAGGTCAACTAATTCAGTGTACTCAGCTGCTATACTTATGTAAATAATAATATATATGATATTACACTTTAAAAACACTGTTGTGGTGTAACAAATGTTACTTGAGTAGGTAAATGTAAAATGAAAGTACAATCGACTCAGCTGCCCTTGTAAAATTTCATATTTATGTTGTGGAAAACAAAAACAATTTGAAGCAGATACGTTTGTGGAATTGAAGTACCCTCAATTCATATTCAAATCAGATTGTACATTTATTTTTCACAAATGTTACATACAAACAATATTTTGTTTATTTTGGGAGCCTTCCATCTGTCTTATTCTATTTGTGTAAGGCTTAGTTGTCTTGATGTTCTTGATTTCCTGTGTTTTGTGGTTCTTTGCTAAGGAAGGGAAGTTATTCTTTGATCATGTTTTTTGAATATCAGTGTTTAAGGTAAAGGAGTTGATCTGAGCCTGTGATTGGTCGGGTTACTTTACCCTTCCTGTAGGAGCTTCTAATCCTCAAATAATTTGATTAGTCTGGATTTCAGTGGTGAGATAAGTCACGTCAGGGATGGTTTAACTTCTGCTTCAACCTTGTCAGAAATAAAATCGTGATAGGAAGATTGATAGATTTTTACGCTTGAGTATTATGGTCAGGCATAATGGGAAAAATGAAAGATGTTCGCTATATTAAATAAATTCAAATTATCGAGAATAAAGACAAACTTTTAGTATAAATGCCAGCCATTAAGTAAATAGTGAACGTTTTAATGTATTTCTATAATACAATTTGGATTCAAAGTTAAAATATTGAGAATAATCTTTTGCCCCGTCACCAATTATCCTCCATAGATATGGTTCAAATTGTGTCTACAGTGATTTGAAGCAGCCCATGCAACACTGATATTTAAGGGAGTTTTCAAACCAACTAAACTACATTTCCACTCCCCAGTTGGTTGCTGTCCCACTAAAGTCAGCTTGGGTGATGAGCGTCGCCTTCGCCCCCTCTGGAAACCTGGTGGCCAGCGGTGGTCTGGATAACATGTGCACAGTGTACAACATCAAGGCTGCCAGCCCAAAGACCCTCAGGGAGCTGGACGCACACACAGGTAAGGATACAATGGTCGCCGGCCTCATTTTCACAGAATCTCAACTTGTTATTAAAAAGCATACAAAGAAATTAGTCGTTCATCACGTCATCTTCCCACCCAGGTTACCTGTCTTGCGCCCGTTTCCTTAGTGACAGTGAGATCTTGACAGCCTCCGGTGACACTACCTGGTGAGTAAATTATCATCATATCACAAAATATATTATGGTTAGTTAAATTAACTGCAAACGCATTGGAAACATCTACAGAATGACATGTCTTCTTTGGCTCAGGCTATTACTTATTAATGGCCAACATAAAACAATTGTCCTGTGTCCCCATTTAAGGAAAAGATCTAAAACAAGAAAAGTAGATTTATAGTTTGATGATATATAATTTGGGTATCCGTCTATGTAGAATACACAATTATTTTCCATATAGCCATTCAATCTTGCATCAGACAGTAATGGCAGTGTTCTATCGTTGCCATGGCAGACATTGTTAGTGGGTAGTGGACACATGATCACATTTGTTTGATTGTTGAAAATGTGATCGATCTTTTCTTTCTTTCCCTGACTTTTCCTCTCTCCCCTCTCCAGCTGTCTGTGGGACTTGGAGACTGGCAAGCAGAAGATCGTCTTCACCAACCACATTGGAGACTGCATGTCTCTGGCCCTCTCCCCCGACGAGAACACCTTTGTCTCCGGAGCTTGTGACTCTCTGGCCAAGCTGTGGGACCTGAGGGAAGGGACCTGCAAGCAGACCTTTTCCGGACACACCAGCGACATCAACGCCATCCAGGCACGTGCAAACATAGAAATCAAAGTGGCCTTGAGCCCCTGCTCTTTTTCGTTCTCCAGAGAAAGTGCCCTTTTTTCCCCCTTTTTTTATTTTTTATAAATGAATATATATCTACAGCTGTTCGCGCACAGTTTCCCTGTCCAAAATTATATTGATTGAATACAAAATTAAAATATCAGGTCGGGAGATTAGACTGTAAAGTTCCGTAGCTCGTGAATTACGTGAGTATGAGGGTATTAAAATTAATTGGTCAGTAAGTCAGAGATGTGCAACTATATTTAACTTTTTGTTTTACATTTTTTTTTTATAAATGATTATGGGCAGTGCCCTTTTTCTCACTTGAGCACCTGCCCCCAAAATGCCTGTGCACGTCCCTGACGCCATCAATGTGAGGGACTCAAGAAGCATCACACACACTGGCACCTGAAATAATATCACTTTTATACCTGTTATATTGTGTGCATACATTTCTATCACTAACCTGAATGTTAGTTCTGGGATTGTAATACATGAACCTGTGCCTGTGACGAACCAGCTTTTGGTTTATGACAGTCATTTAGAATTGCCTTGAAGGTTTTGTCCTGGCCCCGAATTAAAGGCAATGAAAAAAAATTAAAAGTTAAAGCTTTAAGGAATTAAGAAAGTATTGATTACCAAAGTCGAAAAAACATAGTTAAACGATCGTTTTGCAACAGCTCCTAGGATAAGGAAGTTTAATGGGGTGAAAAAATATCCTTTATAAAGATCGGAATCATTGTCTAAAACAGGGGGTCCTTGACCCTCAAGGGATCCTCAGCATTCCTGCAGGGGTCCACCAAATTATTGTAAATGATAATGGTTTGATTTTTTTTTTTCTTTTAAAGGTAAAAATCTGAATTAGTACATTAGAGTAAAGTAAATCCAACATACAATAAGCAAATATGAATGTGTTAAAATCCATCAGAAATTTGCATATTGGATTTGTCTGGTGCTAATCTCAAACCCTGATGTAACCTATGCATTCTTGTGCGTTAACGTGAGCTATCTAACGTGTGATAACTACTTTAAAGCACAAACTCAACTAAATTGATGTTTGGATTTTCTGAAAGTTAGGTATTGTATAAAAGGCGTTGAAAAGGCATTTTGGGCTGCCATTCACATTCTCTTCTTCTCTCCCTGCCGGCAGTTCTTCCCCAATGGAAAAGCCTTCGTCACAGGCTCCGACGACTGCGCCTGCAAGATGTACGACCTGCGCTCCGACCAGGAAGTGATCACTTACCAGGACGCAAGCCTGAACGCAGGCGTCACGTCTTTGACTCTCTCCAACTCTGGCCGCCTTATCTTTGCCGGCTACGATGACTTCAACTGCCACATCTGGGACTCACTGAAGGGAGAGAAAGTTGGTGAGTGGGCCGGATTTTGGGGGGATTTTCCCTGTCCCTGAAAAAGGTCTTATAACTTCTTTCAGACTGAGAAATGTTCTGTGGAGGTTTTTCCCTTTCTTTGATCTTCTTTCTTCACTTTATTTCCTTTGATTTTCTCTCCTACTCTCTTGTTTCTTTGCATACCTTCTCCCCTTTCCGTTCCTTTCCTTTTTTTTAATACCCTCGATTCCTCTTCTCTTTGTCCTCCAGGTGTGCTTTCCGGCCACGACAACAGGGTGAGCTGCACCGGTGTCCCTGCTGACGGTATGGGTGTCTGCACAGGATCCTGGGACAGCTTCCTCAAACTGTGGAACTAAAGCGCCCCGGAAAAACACCGTATGAGAGAGAGGAGGAGGATGAGGAGGAGGAGGAGTGGAAGATGAGGGCAGGGAGAGTAAAAGTGTGGAGATAGGGAGGAGGAGAGGAGAGGAAAGTAAACTAGGACACAAGTGAGGTTAGAGGACGCAGATGTTTGAGCACAGATCTTTCTCTCTCCCTCTCTGCTTCCTCCTTATACATGTATGCAAAATATGAGAGGTTGCGAGTGTGTCACGTTGTATAAATGGCATCAGGTAAACAGTGCGCGATGCATCCCGCTGTATGTACAAGAGAGTTGTATTGTTGGCGGGACTATTCTAACACTGATAATGTAAACAAATAAAAGAGCTCATTAATCAAAAAGGATTAAAGAGCAGAAGCTCCTATTGAGAATCAATTAAACGCATATCGATTTTTGACAATAAAAAAGAAGGAACACTTGAAAATAAGACTGTAGGCGTACAGATTTATTTTTGTTATTGTTGGTGACCTGTAAAAGAGCCCTGCACTTATTTAGATAAAATATTGATATGTACATTTATTTGTATTTTATAGTTTAACACATTAGGATGGAGAGTCTATGTACAGTGTCTTTATTTTTTCTGTACTTTATTTTTGTTTTGGGCTGCACATATCCGGAGTATGTTTGTACGGTAGAGCTGCCATTTTCCTCCTGCAAACCACCGGCAGACTTTGATCAAACATGGCCGCTGCTGTTTCCCTGTTTCACCACGGAAAATCCAATGAGACACCCAGAGAAATGAAGCTTCCAAGGTGGAGCCAGGCTAGCAGGCTGTGAGACGGTACAACCTGTGAAAACATTCTGTAAAGACCCCGTAAACTTCATTTTACTCCCCTGGGTTCAGCTGCATTTTGTTAGTACTTTTACACAAAAGACGAAATGTTTGTTGAAGATCTTTCTAATAAACATAGAATTCTGCGTTAACACTATGTCCGAGTCGGTGTGTTTGTGCTTAATGGCTGTGGGATGATCTTAAATATGGGGTGAAATTACACTGATTATTAAATGTTATCTACACGTACACATACTGTAGGAAATGGTGGGGGTTTTTCCCCTGCAGGTGCAGCTCTCGAGCTCTGGTGGACAAATTAGTCTCCAGGGAAGTTTCATTTGCCAGGTCAACGCACAGCAGCAGCGTGACTCACAGCTGAAGACTGCAGCAGGGTGGACATGCAAATGTTAATGCATGGCGTTGTGGCTATACAGCAATGCACTAGAATAGATTTAACTGTCATAATACCAACACCATGACAATAAGACAATGTCATCTCTGTCACAGAGCAAACCGATTTGACTGAACATCTGAGACTGGGAACGTTTTAGTTTTTCCCACAATTAGAAGTTGCCAGTATTAAACACATTGGTGTTATCAAATTTAAAACATATAATTAATAAATGGGTGAAAATTGCTTGTGTCCATAACGGGCAGCATTAACAGGTTAATATATACCCACATGACAGCTCATTGTTTCTTTGTAATTCTACTCCACTACAATTCAGAGGTTAACCTGGTATTTTTAATTATCGAATTACTATTGATACAGCAAGGAGACGCATTTTGTGAAAAGAAATGCAAGATGTTGTTTAAATGCTGATATATTTATGATCCACGTCACGTATTCAGTTTCGGTGGCAGTTCTTCCAGTTTGTCTAGACTCTAGAGGTCTTCTCATCAGGGCTCTATAAATAAAGAACTACGGCAGATGTGTAATATTTAATGCAACCGAACCGTGTATTACAATGCCGTTATGTGATGACTTTCAAAGAGAAAAGCAAGCACACTCGGAATAAAGTATTATATTATTTTTTTTTAATGTTTTCGGATTTCATATCGCTTAAACACCACGCAAAGGAGGGGGGCGAGGCACGAGTGTCAGGTTATCATGCTGTTACCATGCCACGGCAACCTCTCATTCCCCTAATAGGTGGAGAGTTGCCCATATAGCTCCCCGTTTCTAACGTCATAACAATTTCAAATCTGGATCAGTCTGTATCAGCTCCGTTGCAGCCCCGTTTTTAGAAATTTGGGTATGGAGGAAAATAGAGAGGGTTGTGTTTTCTGACACTTGGTGAGTTCCCTGACACACCGGGAACACATATTCATGTATCAAAGACGTACAAAAGTGCATTTTGCATGATAGGTCCCCTAGGAGGGGCTGCCTTTGCAAGTTGTTGTTGTTACCAGTTTATGACCGGTCAACTCTCGGTCAGAGATAGTCATTGCTATGGGACACCTGGAACACATCCTTCTCGGGGTGTAGATGCCCCCGAGCCATAAGCGACAACAAATGTGATTCAGTGTCCTCAGCTGTTTAGTCTAACTAATGAAGAATGTTGATTATTACACTCTGAACTAGTTAAAACCTCAAACTACAGAAGGTTGCTTCAGAATTGATTTGGCATCTCAACCGTGTGGTCAGATCGTGGCCCGTGACATGTCTCGTGAATTCTCCGGCCGAAGCTCCAA